CCCCAGTGCAAAAATTATATGTACAGGGTAAATTTTTATTAGTTTCATCCTTTTCCTAAGTGCTATCATTACATATTACTGCTGCTTCCAATTGAAAAGTAGAGCAGTCTTAAGCTATTGGTAAACTTCAGGTTAATAGCTGTCTGGCTTACTTCACCTGTAAGTATTCCTACTGTGGAACCTCTCCTTCCATGTAGGTTTTTATCTAATCTGTCTTAGTAACCTTCCATGGTCTGGTTTGGCAATTACTTCGGGGCTTGATTTCATTTGCAACTGCAAGAATATTGGCCAGGCGTGCTGCACGTAGGAGCAACTGTGGAGAAAAGCCTCTGAATTCTACAGAAATATCTATGGATGTGTGTCTGGTTTATTTACAAAATTGAAATATATACATTACCAATGCTAGTCTGTTAAGCACAGCTCCACAATCAGAATTTAATTGAAGCATGTTGCCTATAATAGTTTCAGATATTTGTGTTCTTCAGCATTTTAAGAATTCAGAAACAGATGGGCTATGACCAGGAAGCGGTGGAGAACAGACTGGCGTAAAGCAGGTTGGCTCTCTGACAAGTGCAGGTACAGCTGTGGTATGTATTTTATTCAGCATGCCCACCTACTGTATCAGCAGCCTGCCCTACCAGCAATTCAACTACAACTGACTTAATGAAGAGTAGAGGTAAGCATGAATCCAGACTTTCCATGGATCATAATATTTGAGAACCCAGAAGAATCAACATGACGAAAATCATGCCAAGTAATTTTCTTCCTGTCTTTACATGCAAGAGATAACAAAAGCATTGGTGTTTGGGRGGAAAAAAGAGGCTGCACAAAATGTGATCAAATTATAGGATATTAAAATATTCTCCTTTTGGACTTCGTTAGCTGCTTTTTTTAAATGAAGAAAAAAAAACTTAGTGAATATTAGGTTAAGGCTTAAATGATTGCAATTGTTCTGAGAAGCGTACTGAAACGCAGGATAGGAGCCCTTCTGTTAATGAAAGAAGGGAGGTTATGTGGATGACTGAGGGGATGACGAAATCCTGAAGATTTCGTGCAAGGACTATGCAAAGATATTCTCGTTCCCATTTGCCCCAGTGCCATCCCTCACCTTTGCAACTATCATGGAGAAAGAAATTTCAGGGGCTAAAGGATCCTTGATCTGGACATTCCTTTATTGGAAATGTGGTAYCTGGTTTCTATGTATTTATATTTCAGACAAGACATGCGTGTCTGGGTCTTGTGGCATTCCTTGCATGTCAGGTTGAATATCTTGCATTTAGATACRCTATACATTTCCATCTCTATTCCTGTGTCTATGTAACATCCTATATTGTAACCTGCAGTAACTCACAGTAACCTACAAAGTGAATTTGGAAAAACARCAACCCATAATTATTTTATATAGTGATTATCTGACTTGAAATATTGAGGTAATTATCAAGTTAAATTTCTATGATCCCTGCAATTTCTATGAAACCTGGAGATGTCAGTACTTGAGTTCTGGCATATCTCTTAAAGTAAAATTATACCACCTAATCCTAAGGTCATAATTAAAGATGCTAAGTGAAAAATGGCTATACAATTAAAATGAAAAGCAGAATAATCCTGGTAGTTATGGAGGGTGCAAAGTTAAGCTTAACTGGCCCTGAGTTCCAACATTGCCGGGTCACATGTGACAATCTGTAGCTAGACCAGACTTGCTGACAAACCTGCAAGAGAAAAGAGAAGACTGTGGGCCCAGCCAAGAGCTTGTGGGACCACTTGATTTGGAAGGGGAATGGCTTCTTATGGATGCACGGAAGGAGCGGGAAAAACCCTGATGAGTGCTATATTTTGTTAAAACCTCCCTCGTGTCTTTTTCTTCGGGCAACCAAAAAGTACCCATTTGGTTCCAGCCACTTGGCTGTCCAAAGAAAGATTGGGCTGTATTTGCATGAATGTCTTCCATTTTTTTGTGGATTCCTACGAAACACTTAAAAGCACCACTGAACCATATTGTGGGATCTGTGATCAGCAGCAGGATCTGCAGCTGAGTCTATATGTTTGTGTGTGTATGTGTGCACGCAGGCACGTGTAATGTAAGCACGTGTGTGGAGCAGCGATTGCATTTGGAAACACAAGTCTGGAGGGCCAGTATAATTTTCGTGGCCCTGCCAGAGCCTTCCTAAAGGCTCCTTCCTTTGTCATGCAGCTTCTAGGGAACGTGGTCCTGGTCCAGGTGCTGTCGCGGTGGCAGGCAGCGGCGTTGGAGTGACAGGGACAGGCCTGGCAGTGCCGCGTCGCATCAGCCGCCGCTCGCAGCTCCCGTTGCAGTGTGGTTTTGCTACTTGAGCTCTGCATGCCCTGTATCTTGCTTACATCTCGGACTCGGCAATATTTTTTTTTTCCTCTCATTCTCTTGTCCAAGCTTCACATTTAACCTTTGAGGCAGTTCTGAATGTATCCTTTCATAAATCGTAGTCCAGTAGCACTAACCTCAGGCAGCTCTTTAGTGKTTTTGACTCCCTTCTCACACTGTGCCTCCTCAGGCTTCTGCTGGTCATTCTCATTTCTCTCCTGATGATTTTGTCACTTCTCTTCAATGTAAAACTCAGGGGATCTATGAGCCTGTGCGCTGCGACTCTGTTTGTGATGTTGGGGCCTCTGCCTGATGCTGCACTTCGCTTCATTTACCTTTCTCATTTCATTGCTTTCCCCACGTCCCAGTGGTGCTGCCTGCCCGCCCTCCCCGTTGCTACTGTGGGGCTTGACACACTGTCCATCAGATCCTGTCCCCTGCAGCCTCCACCAAAATATGCTACCTTTCATGTTGGTGACTCCCTCAAACACGCTAAATCTTGTGTGTCCTCTAGATTTTCTTTCCGTTTAGTTTTAAATGTCCCCTAGCTGTTCCTGTGCTGAAAAACACCTCTGGACCTACTGATCCTTCACAAGCTTTTTAAGCCCATTCTCTGGTATTTCTTTTGTCAGCGTTTTTACAGCATTTCAAGACTAGTTGGTGTCACAAAAGGGAAGAATATTCACAGTCAGCTCCATACAGGCCTGGTTCTGAGAAGTCACTTAAGTGAAGTGTGATGTTGAATGAAGGGATTAAGTGACGGCTCTTGGAGATTTGTCCAGACTCAAAATTGCGCCTAGGCAGTAGCTCAACCTTTTTTCCAGATGACAAGGGAAGAAAAGTTAGGTATGGTGAACAGTTGAGCACAGCCCTTTCAGCTCCTAAGGTCCCATCCTAAACTTGTGAGGAGACACCCTCTTTGGAGCACAAATATCTTTCACTGCTGAGGCAGTGGGACTCAGGACAGATGCCCTGGACATTGGCTGCCAGTTTTTCTGGGGAAAATATCCATTTGCTGGTAGAAATATTGTTGTGCCATCTCACTTTTCCGTGAGGTGAGCACTCAGCTATTTCAATGAAGAAAGAGCGCAATGTAAGATCTCAGATACAGAGTAGATGTTCTTCAGCTTCAGGGTAGGGCAGGGTAATTATGAGGATCGGAGTACAGCTCGCTGCTTTGGGCATGTGTGAAATGCCTGCCATCCCTTTGGGCAGGGGTGGAAGGTGTCTGCCCTTGTGCACTACCTCGCAGGGGCATTTGCCCCGGAGCTTCGGTCAGAGCTGGGAGAAGCCGGGCAGGAGGCCCTCGCCGTGAAGCGAGTCCCTTCCCCTGCCACCCGCGTGAGGGGGTTCCTCCGTGGAYGCTTCAGAGGGGTGAAGCCTCGAGGTTAGTTGTGTCGGCGTGTGGGCAGCACCCTCCTGGCACACAGGCCTCTTCCTGCTGCCTCGGCTCACTGGGGCTGGGAAGGGGACGTCGCGGAGGCAGGAGCAGCCGCGGTGCGGCCGAGGAGAGTTGCCGAGTGCCTGGTGTCCTGTGYGGGGCTCAGCCGCGGGGCCGCGCGGTGACACCCTGCGGGTTGCTCCAGCTGCTTGCGTAACCCAAAGTTACTGGTGGAATAAAGATATCCTGTGGTGGTCAAGGAGCATTCAGGTGCTTGTAAGCACAAAGCAGAGGAGGGGAGTCATGAGGTGCTGTAATGGGAGGTGATGGTATGTAATAAGTAAAAGGGAAGATATAAAATTTAATAGCACTGTGGCCACAATGACAGAGGAAGATATCGCTTAAGAAGCCATCGTAGGGTAAACTGGAAGAGAAGGAYGCAAGAAAGTAGATATGGACAAAATTGGAACAGCAATATTATTTCCCTATCTCTCCTTCTTATTTTGTGCTTTCCACTGAATGATCTGTGATCAGGTCAAAAGCAAGAGCCAGAATAAATTCTATAGAACATGAAGCGCTCTGTACCCTGTCTGCCAGACTGTGTATATCCCTGCTGGAGAGGATGTAAGAGGAATAGCATCCTTTTTGGTAGTGAGTCCGACCTGAAAGTGAGAATAATAGCTCTGACTCAATCACAGGCTGTTGTGGAGGGAGATTAATGCCAGGAGACATGGCCAATTCTTTTTCTCTGTGTCAATCCATCTGCAGAACACAGTACCTGCCAGTTATTTGACTTGGAGAGTGCCGATATGAAATAGAGAGATAAAATCTGTAGCATAATTGAACAGACATTTTTCACATCTTTATCATTCTGTCTTGCTCTGCCCTCTTATGCTTCTGCATATTTTTCTTTCAAAAGCTTTTGCAGGTGGGCTGGGTGCTGAAGGAATAGCGTCTGGGTTGGATGCTTAGTGCTCGATATTTCATCCGGTACACGAGAAGATACGTTCAGACATTTTCATTGTGCCTCAGATTATATAAGGTATTAGTAGTCCGTCATGCAAAGGCATTATGTTACTGGAGTCATCATGCTGTAATAATGCTTTCCAATTCAGCTTCTGCATTTTCTTCACATTTTCAACATTATATATTTAAAATAATCATGTTTAAACAACTGAGATGTTGCAAGTAACTTTATTTTGACTTGGTATTAAATTACATTCATTTTCTTTCGGATCTCATGTTGCAGGTTGGCCTAAGATGAGGGGGGATACGTATCTTTTTGCCACTAGGCTCACATTAGTTCAAGTCCATCTTCAGTCCGGAATGACAGTCCAGACTTAGTATTTCTTGACTACTGGTGACTGAGGAGGAATGGCCCCGGYTGTGTTTTTATGGCACAGAACTAGAACTAACTTTCTGCACCAAGTGATGTTGGCCAACTCCAATCCCCTGCCCTGACTGAGGACACTCAGGGTTGAGCTTGAAAAGCCCTGSGACACTTTATGATGCTGGTATGACCCACCCCAGGATAGTCCCAACTGTTTTGTTTGTCTTCGGGTGATGCCAACTTGTTCTTGCTTTTGACATGCCAAGAAGCAACTAGAAAATAATCAGGCTACAGAAAGGCTCAGCCACGGCCTGTCTCCCAGATTAGATCTCAGCAGTAAAAGTCTTTTGCCTGCTCTGACTGACAGTTCTGACCTGAAAGCCTTGTCTCCATTCAGAGACCTCGGAGGTTTGAGTAGGGTAAGTTCCTATTTCCATACTCCTAAATTCCCGTAGAAGGCAAAGCATGTCTAGTTGGGATTAGTACGTGCAGCAGACTTCGGGGGGAAAAAATGGAAACAACTTCCAAATCTATTACTACATGAAGCAAAAACACCTTTGCAGGTAYCCATTTGGTGCAGAAACATTCACTCTGAGATTTATTAAAGATGTTAACCCAGCCTTYCCTCCTGGTTCTCCATGCATTCCAATAATGGCAGGTAATTTCTGCTGCACCCCATCCCACACACCTGGAAACCTGTGTTCTCTGTCACYGCAACACCGGTGGAAAAGTAGCCGACGGCGATGGCTTGAGCAAGGGGCTGGCGCATGGGATGTGTAAACTGAGCCAGCCCTCTGCTCCGATGGAGAGCTTGCTTTGGGAGAGCAGGCTGTTCATTTATTTAAAGGCTTATGCTCTATGTTTTTGTGCTGCCTTTTACAGCTTGTGTTTGCCTTTCACCTTCACACTGATATTTACAGCGAGCCTTGTGGGAGTGCTTCCAAACTCACAGTGATGGGATCTGTTGTCATTAGTTTTCCTGTTGCATTTAACTGCATATAAAATTAGAGCATCGAGTTGTCATAGTGGCAAGAGAAAGGCAGGAAAAGCTTTTCCCTTCCCTTTTGGGGACTTTAGTGGGTGTGAGGCGCAGGGACCAGCCTGTGTCCCTGTGTAAGCYGGGCATGCTGGACCTGCCCCTGCCTGAAGCCCCGCCTGCATTTTTGGAAGGTGGCTTGGAGTCAGTTCTGTTCCTCTTGAGCTACGTGAGGAAATCCCAGCACAGGACTTTTAGATGTCTTATATGTTGTAGGTGTGGGTGGTGTTTGACTCTTCTGCTAAACCGGCTTGTATTTTGAAGGATGCTTTTTTGTATTGCTGTTGTTCCCAGCCAGAGATGCTGTGAAAGTGAAGAAGGTGCCAAAAGGGAGCACGCACTGAATTCTGCCACCTGCTCCTGTCCAAGAAAGCCATGGTCCCTGGCTGCAAGCTGGGCTAGAAGGAGCCCGAGAGGTAGGAGGAAGGCGGGAGAGGGAAGCAGAGGCATGGCTAAGATAGCACAGTGTGTGTGGTGGTTCACTAGGGGCCTTGGGCATCAAGCTGTCTCACTGCATTTCTGCACCAGCRTCGCTGTCTGATCCACAGGGATACGGTGCAGTTCATATGTGCCTTCATCTGGCAAGCTGCAGTGTGTGCCCGCACGCTGCACAAGTACAGCTCCATGTACACCTCTTTTGGGTTGGGAAGGGAAGGTTTTGCCTCTTATTGCTGGGAGCTTGAAGGTCATCCTGTGCAAGGACTTGGATAATCAGATACAGGGGAGACCTTTGTTCCTGTGTGCTTTTCCTGCCCTGCTGTCATTTTTTTGTGCACTGCATCTGCCAAACTCCTGGAATCCATCTCTAGACAAATATGGAAACCTAAAGAAAGATAGGCTGGTTATCAAACCAGCAAGGTAGCAGCTCTATGCACATGACCACACGTAGCATAAATACAATAGCATCTATGCAGGATCCAATGGATTGCTTGAATAGGCAGTTGCAGAAACTACAAGTACATGCTCTATCTGGAGTTGTCTGGATGTGCCTGTAACTTCTAAAACATTCAGCTTCCATACAGAGACCCTACTTGTTCAATGCCTGCCTGCCCAAGACAGAAAGGAAACCCTACGAGCCAAAAAAGAATCTCCTTATGTGTGCACAAAATCATAGTCACAAAAAATCATAGCATCACCTCGTGTGTTTGTGTACACACATCTCGCATATGCCTGGAAGAAAGGCCTTCTGTTTTATGGGTTCCTCATTATCATAGTCTCTGTTAAGTTCTGCAGCCCTTCTCAGAAACTGATTAAACTCCAACCAAAAAAAAGAAGCAGTTGGATTTTTGGCCCTGGGTTCTGCTGTTACTGGGCAGCCATTCCAGGGCTTTTATCTATCCTGTGACAGCCAAAACAATTTTATTTCCAACCTTAGTTTATTCATTGCCAATTTATGTCATGTGAAGAAATGAATGAATTATCAAATATGCCAGATTGCAGAATAAACAAAAGCAGTGTCACTGTGCACCATATCCAGCATTTAGGGAGCAGGACTAAAGCACATTCAGAAAGAAAAATCAGTGTAAAAGGCCATATAGCTAATTACCAAGTACAATAAATGACTCCTATGAAAAATAGGCCATGTCGAGAATAATCTCTGTCAAAGGTARCTAAAGAATGTCCTCCTTAATACGTTTAAGAATTGAGAGGGTATTAAAACCTGGAACATGTAAATCAGTTGTGAAAGTGTACAATTCACTGCACCTCCAATGTCTGCAGGTTGGTGGGCATGGAGGCGATTCCAGCGTGTCCTTTTAGGAAGAACTTAGGATAGCCACGGCTGGCTGGCATGGAGGAAAACCTCTACCAGTAAGGCTCCGATTGCTGGCAAACTGGTGTTAAAGAGGTTACTTTGTTTCACGATAAAGCAGTCCAAAGATGCGGATGCTGGGACTTGATCTCTCAGAAAGGTACAGAAGGTTAGATGAGCATCTGTCTCAATTCTTTACAAAGCCCTTGGGTTTGACAGTAGCAAAGCATATGCTGCCTGGCAGGTGAGCCCGCATTTGATGTACATAGCACTTTCCTTAATGCTTATGGTCCTGGCAAGGGCTGCGCATACGAGGGCTTTAGTTAGTGAAACAGGGCTTGGGTTTAGCTTCCCAGGCTGCGGTTTTGCAGCAGAGCATTTAGTGGTTTCTGTATTTCAGAGATGAGAGTCTGAACTCTGCTGGAAATCTAAAGGACTAGATATTGGAATATTTAGAAACACGGCATAGTCATCCTGCAGGTATAAATTAAGAGGAGTGGGACACAAAATCTGCTTGCTAGGAAGGGCACAGTTAATTTCACCTTCATGCTGCTGTTCTGTCTTCTCAGTTGTAAAACTGAGTGTAATTTGCTTTTTCCTGTTTGTTTATTTGCTTACCTCTTCCTGATGCTACCATGCAAATTGCTGCCGTACTTGGCTGTTCATCTAACACCCACTCTTGAGGATGAAGCTTTTCTTTGTATCGCGTTGCTGTAGACTGCTTCAAGCTTTTAATCTCAGCTACATCAGCTTTCTAAGCTTTAGGTCATAAAGATTTTAGCACAAATAAGTACATCCTATGCATTTTAAGTCATTTGGGAACAAGATTAATAATTATTTAATTGCTGGGAAGTAATGCAAAAGCATTTGATTTGTTGTTTGGCTTAACTCTGCTGTTTGTGTATCTGGCTGCAAAAGAATATATCCTTACATCTTAGAAAAGCTCCTCTGGCCTTCCATGGGATCCATCCTGGATATAAAGTTCCACTTGCATGGATGAAACAGCAGGATTAAGGCCATAAGTATCAGAAGAATATAAAAATAACCAACTCAATACATCACAGGTATTGTGGTATTAATTTAGTTAGTCTGTTATGGTACACGATTTTGCTTATTCTGTAGAATAAAGCCTTTCTAYTACACAGCTAGACTGAATTGTAGTAAACACAAAGGATATTATCAGAAGTAGTATAGCAAGTGTGATGCAACCCAGCTTAGAAGTTGTCTTCATTAATTGGGAAGTCCTTAAAATGTGGCTGCAAGGAAATGATGCTGTAATTTGTTTATGAGAGTATTGCTTCATTATGATATATACATGTCCCAACTAGGTCACAACGAATAGCTAAGAAAGTAAAACAAATGTGACTTAATAGAATCCTGGATATGAAGGACTATAATAAGCTTACACATTAAATTAACTTAGAGATCAAAAGTAATAGACCCAAACTAATAATTGCCAGGCTCAAGACAACAATTTGTTATTTCAGATGAGCCAACTTTGAAGGGATATGTAAGGAACAGAGAAAAATGAATTCATGTACAGTTACAGCAGATACCACTTATCACACAGTAATAAGATAGTGGACAGCCTGATGGCAACTGTGAAATATTGATAGAGCCGACTTGCAAATAGAAGGAAATGTGATCATATATAACACTGGCAAACCAAACTCAGAAGAAACAATGGGGGAGGAAAGCAGAAACCTAATTCAGTAAATTGTGAGGTATAGGTTACGAAGAATAAACTAGAAACTTCTAAATTAATAAAAGTTAAAAATAAATAAAAAGGATACAGTTAGTTGAGAAGCATATATTAAGAGTTGCTTTCCCTCCATTGCTGCTTTCCCTGCCTGGAGTGCATGCTACTCGGAGATTTTCTTTCTCACTGCCATCCATGACTGCTCACTTTTTGAGCAGAGRTGGTGAGAGCTGGACAGGGAAGGGACAGTTTCCCTTCATTCTCATACTCCTGTTTCTCCCCTCCCGTTGTCGCCACAAGAGTGGCCAGGATCAGCTCAAGGAGCCRAGCTGGCGGTGGTTGGTGATGGAGAGAGGGCCCAGGGGAAGCCTTCCAGAGGAGTCCCGCGTGGAGCTTCGGGTAGAGTTGGACACACTTTTCTCTTCTTCCCTGTCCTCTCCACTGAGCTGTTTCTCTATCTTGGGACTAATGTGTGCGACTGACTGCGGAGGCCCCAGCGAAGGAGATTGGGCCAGCAGAGGAGGAGTCAGCCCTGAGACTTGTTGGTGGCATTGTCCTTCCAGCTTGAGCCCCCCCGGAGCAGTGCCGTGGGGAAGGTACGGAAGGAGCCACCCACACCTGTGCCTGTTTGCTTTCACAGCAAACATCTGGGGATTATTCCAGACAGGAACCTGCAGTCAGGGCTCAAAGTGGAGCACCGCACCAGAGCTCTGCCGCAAAGTGCAGAGCAGGAGAAACGGTAAYGAAGGGGTGTGCACTGCAGAGCACTTGTGCAATCAGAAGCCAAAATTAGCAGGGGGACAATCTAATTGTATTTGTTCTGCTTACAAATAGATAACCCCCCTGCTAACTTCAGCTTCTGCTTACAAAAGTGCTCTGCGGTGCGCACTCCCCCCAATCCCTCCCCTTCTCTGTGATTTTTTTTCTTTTCTCAGATGTGTTTTCCTTACATTTCCAGCTCTATTTTCTCAGCCTGCATCAATATTTAATATGTGTGTGGAACAGTGGGCAGTTGCCTTCCTTTTCTTTTCCCTTTTTTCTTTTCCCCTCTGCAAAGTGCTGGTACTCTGCTCTGGCTGTGGAAGCACTTGGCTCCTGGGAGCACTTGCTCAGTTCAAGTATTGCCTGCATTAAGGAGCCAAAGCCTAACCCRAGGCTGCCAGAATGGGTTTAAAAAGGCAATAATGACTAATTGACCTCTTTAATGAGCTTAGGAATTATAAAGTAGATAATTGGCATGCATATGACATATTTTATCTAGGTTTTCAGAAAATCTCTGATAAGGATCTACATGACAGGCAGTTTCTGAAAGTGAAGCTAACAGAGACTGGGAAGGACATGATAGAGAAATAGATGAAAGAAAACGACTTCTCTGTACTGAGAGATCTTTGTCCCCAGGAAAGAAAGAGTTAAGTGTGGTTAATACCTGGGCTCATGCTGTTTGATTTTAAATAAATTACCTAGTTAGAAGGATCTGCTGTAAACTCACTGTATTTGCTGATGGTACTAAATTATGATGCATACTGAGCACAGAATGAATGGCAAGAAATATTCATTGTGCCTTAGATCCGCTCAGTAATTGAGCTGACACATGGCAAATTAAATTTATTACTGAGAAATGTGGAATAATGTACATTGTTCTGGATACAGAGATGACAAACCTAAAATCCCTGGAACTGAATGAGATCTAGAACACTTAAACACARCAGCCTTTCCTGGACCGTAGCTCTCCTAGGGGATGTGCACAAGCAAAGAAATATTTGAAAGGCTGAACAAAGAAGAGTGATTCAGGTGTTTGTTTTTCTTTCTTTCACAGTGTATCGCTTTAGACCATTCTTTGAATTTTTTTTCTAGTTCAAAGCAAAAGCTTGCTAGAGTATTTGCGATCTGCTTTCCATACCTTGGGAATGGATTAGGATAAAAACCAGCTGAGCTGTGCCACCCATCGCATCCATCACCTTATCACA